TTAGTGGAAAATATTTGCGTTTTCCTTCTCCGGCAGGTTTCTGCCTTATACAGGTTCCAGCTCTCGCAGGTTTTGCTGTACTTCTGAAAGATCACAGCCATTGAAAACCCTATGGCGTGCAGTCCCACTCTGACACACAGGGGCTTGTCACGAATTGGAATCGACTCAACAGCAACTGGCTTGGTTTCTGCTTTTTTGTTTGGGGGAGAATTAACTGAACATCTTGCAGCCACAGTTCATTCCTGCCTGCTCATCTCTGCTTTGCTGTTCGTCCTTTAAGTCAGGAAATCCTTCCCCAGTTACCAGCCAGAGCCTGCCGGCCTCACCCCTTCTAGCCAACTCTCATTTCCTGGCTGGGCCAGCCTGATTACTTCTAATTGGCTTTGACTGCTCCCAGCTGGGACTCCTCGCTGGTGTTCCGCAGGAGCACACAGACAGTCTCCCGGCCACATGGAGGGAGGAGAAGGGGAAGGAGAAGGCAGGCGGGCAGCAGCTGGGACGACAGTCAGCGACAAAACTTTTCCTGGCTTCCCAGCCCGCTGAGACTGGGAGAGCTTGTCAAGGGGTTAACTCATCCAAGCAGACAGTGACCCACCTCTTGACAAGACAAACGACTGTATTTGTTGACCCCAAAAGCAACCAATCACGTAACTGCAAACGCCCTTAGAAAGCTGTTAGATGTGTCCTCCCCCGAGATAGATGGGGTCTTGCTGGCAGGCACGACAAAGCTCCGCTGGAGTATCAGTAAACAATTACGCTCATTCATTTATTTGACAAGTATTTATTGGACTATTATTACAGTTCAGGCACTCTGCTAGGCACTGTAGGGCAAAGAAAAATAAAAGTAAACACAGCCCCTGCTCTCAGTGAGTCTACAAGAGAAGGAAAAAACCCAAACCATACCCACTGCTGTTGAGTCGATTCCGACTCATAGTGACCCTACAGGACGGAGTAGAATAGAAAGGCATTCATAATAAATAATACGGAATGCAGGAAGAATGTCAAGTGAGTGATATGTAATAAGAGAATGGAGGGGGCTCAGCCTCTTGCTACGGGTTCATTGGGAGAGTATTTACGGGAAATGCATCACTCCTAGTGGGTGGAAATGGGTCAGAGACAGCGGATGGGGTAGTGGGGTATTGCATAGGCAAAGGTAGGGAAGCCCAATCGTGGATGAAGAACAGCTAAAAGGTAGTGCCCAGAGAGACCTACAGGAGGATAAGGCTAGACATTTAGTTTGGGCTAATTAGTAGAGAGCTGGACTACTACTCCTCGGCCAGACATTTTCTGTGCATTTGAGGGAGACGGCAGTATGGCTCGGTGTAGACTTCTCCCCTTCCGTGCCGGAGACCTGGGTCTGACTCTTGGCCAATGTATTTGTGCAGCCACCACCAGTGGAGGCTTGTGTGTGGCTGTGATGCGGAACAGGTCTCGGTGGAACTCTCAGACTAAGATGGACTAGGAAGAAAGGCCTGGCAATCCACTTCTGAAAATCAGCCAGTGAAAATCGCATGGATCATAATGGTTCAACCCACAACCGATCACGTGGATGGTGCAGGAACGGGCAGAGTTTCCTTGTGTTGTGCACGGGGTCAGCGTGAGTTGGGGTCTCCTCGAGTCAGGTCCGCCTCAATGGCTGCTAACAGCAAAATGAAGACAACACGTTATTCTGTGTACTAATTTGTCTTACATGAAGGACGTCTGGGGTTTTTTAAACAAGGCCGTTTCAGAGAATAAAGACCTGTATACTTTCAAAGGCAGTCACTAAGCATAGGCCGGCCCAGGATTTGGCATCCATCCCAGCTGATGGAATTAGCAGTGAACTTGAATCAAACCCGGGCAGCAGGCTTGAAAAAGATTTAATGGGCCTAGATTTTCTCTCTTCTTCACCCCCTTCCTGACCTCCACCCCGAGAGGATAATTAAAAGGAAAGTCTCTATTTCATTGTCAATATCTTCCACGATTTCTGGGCCTGGAGCAAAATTTTTTTTTTTTTTTTAATATTAGGCTATAAAGATATGTTGATGAACAAGTTCTGAAATTTTTCCTACACCACAATAAAGGAATATTTAAATTTTCATATAGAGCTAAAACCAAAAAGAACCAAACCCTTTGCCATTGAGTCAATTCCAACTCATAGTGACCCTATAGGACAGAGTAGAACTGCCCCATAGGGTTTCCAAGGCTGTAATCTTTACGGAAGCAGATTGTCCTATCTTTCTCCTGCAGAGCGGCTGGTAGGTTCGAACCGCTGACCTTTTGGTTAGCAGCTGAGCCCTCAGCCACTGTACCAAACCAAAAAACCAAACCCGTTGCTGTGGAGTTGATTCCAACTCATAGCGATCCAACAGGACAGAGTAGAACCTCCCCATGGGGTTTCCGAGGAGCAGCTGGTGGATTCAGACTGCCAACCTTCTGGTTCGCAGCCAAGCTCTTAACCACTGCACCACCAGGGCTCCCATATAGAGCTAATGTCCTATAATTTTAAAAAAGTAATACTCTATTATATAACATTGAAGAAACCCCAAACTCTTTGCTAAAGAATATTCCTGATGGTTTTGATCCTGAAGGGAGCCCACATCCCTGGTCCATTAGACATCTGTTAAGCATCTTCTCTGCGCTGATCCCCTCCCCCGCCCACTCATGGGTACTGTCTTCTGAAAATTGGATTATCAAATTAGAGACATTAAAGCCATTGGATGGGCCTTGCAGAAATTGTGGGGGTGGAGCCGGGGCAAAGAAGTCCCTTTAGCACAGCAAGAAAAAGATTTAAAAGCGTCTTTAATACGGGAAAGTGGGAACCACAAGAAGACAGATAGAAAAGCCAAGCAGAATGTTCATAGTGATAATAACAATGCTAGTGACTTGTAACATGTAAGTAGTTGATTATGGGGTTGCCGTGTGTCGTCAGTTCCGACCCATAGCGACCCCACAGGACAGAGGCAAACTGCCCCACAGGGTTGCCAAGGCTGTAATCTTTACAGACGCAGACTGCCACACATTTCTCCCTTGGAGCAGCTGGTGGGTTCTAAGGGCCGACCTTTTGGTTAGCAGCCAAGCGCTTACCCATCGGGCCACCAGGGCTCCTTCAGTGATTATAGAGCCGCATATTTGTAATTAGACCTATTTAAAGTAGGCATTTCTCTGGGTCACTTTTCAGATGGAGAGTCCCTAAGACACTGATTAATGACAGCTGTCGCCTGCTTCCTGCCCTTCCCCCATCTTAAAGCGCAGGGTGGATAGTCTACCTGTTTAGGGCTGAGTAGACAATGAAATGAGCATGACTAGGATGGAACTCTCCCTTTCAGCTCTGATGTTGCTGATCAGAGGTTGGGTTTGCATCACTGCTGGTGGCTCTCTCTGCTCAACAGGTTGCTTTGTTAGGTGCCCTGGAGTTTACTCATAGCGACCCCACGTACAACAGAGCACTGCCCGGTCCTGCACCATCCTCACAGTGGTTGTTATGCTTGAGGCCATTGTTGCAGCCACTGTGTCAGTCCATCTCATTGAGGGTCTTCCTCTACTTTACAATGCATGATGTCCCTCTCCAGCTACATCCAAAGTGCTTGAGATAAGTCTGGCCATCCTCGCTTCTAAGGAGCATTCTGGCTGCACAAAGACAGATTTGTTCCTTCTGCTGGCAGTCCATGGTATATTCAGTATTCTTCCCCAACACCATCATTCAAAGGCATCAATTCAACAGGTAGCACTTTGTAAATGCCTCCACCTACGTAGCTCCCACCTACTCCCGCACAAGAGTCCTTATTTGAGGTTTTAAAGGGACGTTGGGGATCCTGGAGAGGGTCAGTCTTGAGGGCAGTTGCAATTGTTTATGGTGGATGAGCACCGTCACTGCGCGCACAGAACAAAAGCATCCAGGAGCCGCGAGCGCGAGCGCGAGTCCTTCTCACCCTGCAATCATGGGTATCACTGGAATGGAAACCAGAGAACGTGTAAACCTACAAGCAGAGGCAGAGAACGCCCTGCTTCCTACGTCGCAGCTGATACTATTGCTGTTGCGGCTGCTCCTCCTCCAGCGCAACAATCCGTTCTGCATGCTAGCCGGGGTAAACGCACTGCCACCCACCCATCGGTCGGTCCGTCCGTCCATCCACCCATCCACCCAGGTCCAGAGGGCCCTACTGTGCACCAGGCCCTGGCCTGGGCACCAGGCACCCTCTCCACAGTTCACGAGGGTCGGGACCGCCTCCTTCTCTCTCCCGCCCAGGGTGGGTGCGGCTGGCGAGATTTCACCGCCGAAAGGTCCAGACAGCCCAAACCGGCAATACACGCGAGAGACGCTGCCGAGAGCGGCGCGACTCGGGCGGCTCGGGAGCGCGTGTGCCCGAGGCAGCGCGGGGTCCCCCGGTCTGGCGTTCAGGTGGCTCCCCCGCCCACTCGGCCGCTCCCCTCCGCAGGCCCTGCCCCCTCCAACGAGGGTCGAGTTTGGCTGTGGCGCGCGGGGAAGGAGGGGCTACGAGGGATTTGAAAGTGCACAGGCTGCCGAGTGAGATCGCTTCTGTCCCCGCCGCCCGCCGCCCGCCGCCCGCCGCCGGATTAAATTTCTGCAAATTCAAACTGAATGGGGCTTTCTTCTGCTGCCTTCCAGAGGGCGCCTGCAGCCCGCCGCGCG